ATTTTTTCGAGAATTCCAGTTTGTTCCGAGAATATTTCATTGCTCAATTTTGGAGTGAGGAAATACAAAATGAAACTCGAGAGAAACTTCGCAAAAGTAAGTATACCCAGGGATCGTTTGTTCAGCATTTTTTGAGGTGCATGTCCAGTGCGAAACATCTTGATCCTCCATATTCGGAACCTCAACTAATTAAGGTTATTGCTAGGTTATTTCCACCACAAATAGCTAGTGTTTCAATTGGTACTAACAGCCTTTCAGATGCTATCGATAGATTGAGACATGCTGATTCTTATTTTGATGACCAGCCTGAATTCATGAATTCTAATCGCAAACAGTTTTCCAACGATTTTGTGGTTCAATCAATTATTATTATTATTATTATTGAAGAATCGGGAAATTCGGGAAACGGACTGGAACCTCGCGAACACTAGGCCCTGGCATCGTGAGGTTAGAAAGTAAGAGGGTGAATTTTTTGGCAGATCAAAGAGAAGATTTACTTACGGAATGTGATTGTGAGATTGGCGGTAAAAAAATTCAGTCACCATTTATTGAAATTGTAATAAAAGGGTTTAGATTAGTTGCACTAGTAGATACGGGCAGCGAAATATGTTGTTTCAATGAAGAAATATGGGGTCAGCTAGAACCGTTTTCGGATGATATTCCAACATTTTCTTGCCCAGGGGTAAAAATTATGGGGGCTTTCAAAACCAAGCATCGTAGGGTAAAACAACAATCTCTGATTACTTTCACTGTACAAGGTCATGCATTTTGTCATGAGTTTTTATATATACCAGATTTGACAGTTCCTATTATAATTGGGGTGGATTTTTTGCGGTCGTTTCCATCGAGACTGCATTTCGACGAGAATAAGTTATTATTCAAAATGCCAAACACCAATGTTTGGATAGATATTCCCGAAAACAATCCTGGTTGTGAGTTTCAAGAAACGCGCTCTTTCGAAATAAGATCTATAGATATTAGAAAAACTGTTTATCAAAGTGAGTCAGTAGAACAAAACGCGGTTAGTACAAGCGAGGAGATAAAAAATATTATTTCGAGTTGTTCTGTCGAAGAAACTGACAAGATGGTTTTAGCAGAACTTCTGCACGATTTCAGTTCAATTTTTTCTGAGGCACCGGGGAGAACAAATACATACTGTCATGTAATTAAACTAACGGAAGATCATGGTTTTTGTTACAAACAATATCCGGTCCCAGAAGCGCATAGGGCGGCTGTGAAAAAAGAATTAGATCGAATGGAAGAGCTAGGGGTTATTAAACAAATGGCTACTCCATATATTTCACCCATTATGGCTACAGTGAAAAAAGATAACAAGGTGAGGATATGTCTAGACTCACGATATCTGAATTCCATAATGCAAAAGGAACATGACACTCCTGTACCTATGGATGTGATTTTGCGTCGAGTAAAGAATGCTAGATTCATGTCTACTTTAGACTTAACTAGTGGATATTGGCAAATACCACTTCATCCAGATTCACAAAAATATACTGGATTCAAATTTGATGGCAGGTCATATTGTTTTACCGTGTTGCCATTTGGTTTATCTACCAGCGTGAGTGCTTTTGTTAGATGTTTGAATTCCATTTTAGGGGAAGGTTTCGAAGGATTCGTATTGACTTTCGTCGATGATATCTTAATTTTCTCCCCAACTTACCATGAACATCTGGATCATTTGGCAAAAGTATTTCTACGTTTGCAAGAATCTGGTTTCACACTCAATTTGAAAAAATGTAAATTTTTAAGACGCGAAATGCCATTTTTGGGATATATTCTGTCTCCTGAAGGCATTCATCCAGATCCTAGTAGAATTCAAGCGTTGAAAGATTATAAAACTCCAAAGAATGTTAAGGAATTACAAAGTTTCTTAGGTCTTGCAAATTTTGACCGATCGTTTTGCAAAAATTTTTCCAGGCTATCAGCACCACTCACTCGTTTGTTAAAGAAAAGTGTCAAATGGAGTTGGACACCGGTTGAGGAATCATCATTCGAAATGGTGAAGGAAAGTTTATGTGAGGCTCGAGAGGATGTACCGTGAAACAGACGCGTGTGATACAGCTTTGGGTTGTCATTTGTTTCAAATAATAGATGGAGTTCGACGACCAATAGCATGGGGATCAAGGCTTTTAGTGGATAGGGAAACAAGATATCATATAAATGAGAAGGAAGCTCTGAGTATAGTATGGGCACTGTCACGTTTTCGAATTCATTTACAAGGTAAAAAGTTCACAATTTTCACTGACAATCATTCGATAACTTTCTTAAAAACGTGTCGGTTATTATCGTCAAGAATTTCCAGATACGCGTTGGCAATTCAGGATTATGATTTTGATATTAAGTACATACCAGGTCCTCGGAATGTAATTGCAGATGCATTGTCTCGTTACACAGCATGTCGTTTTCCTACTCCAAATGACAAGGTGTTCAAAATTTTATCTTTGGGTAAACTGCCAAAAAATGTGTTGCAAATTATAAAAAACATCGGAGAACATCAGAGAAATGATGATAAACTCTCCGAAATTATGGGAAACTTTCAGGATAGTGAAAAACTTCATGGACGTTTTGCTATGATAAACGGGGCGTTATATGTTCGAAACAGTAATGAAGAAAACTATTTGTTATGCATTCCGAAAAGAATGGCAGATAAACTGGTCACAACATATCATGAAATGTATGGCCATTTCGGTGCGTACAAGACTTGGAGGGCTTTACGTTCAGAACTATGGTGGAATAACATGTTCAAAGACGTTAAAAGGGTGGTGAAGAGATGCGAAATTTGTCAAAAGGCTAAAGTAACAATTTTGCCAAAACCCGAGTTGCAGTCGATTTTGCCAACAAGAAAAAATGAAATAGTAGCATTAGATTTATATGGACCAGTACCAGTTAGTCGTGGTGGAGTAGAATATGTTTTGGTGCTAATAGATATTTTCACTAAGTATGTAACTTTATATGCTTTGAAGAAAGCAACAACTAGGGCTATACTCAATAGAATAATAAATCATTACATACCAAATATGGGACCGATTCAGAGCGTATTGAGCGACCACGGGACTCAATTCACAGCGAAACGGTGGAAAGAGAGTTTGAATGGTCTGAATGTGAAAGTGGTTTTTTCTTCTGTTAGGCATCCACAAAGCAATCCATAAGAGCGGGTGATGCGGGAGTAAGGTCGTCTAATGAGGACGTATTGTCACGACCAACAGAAGAAATGGGCTGTGGAATTATCGAGCTTTGCGGAATTCATGAATTCAGTTGTTCATGAATCAACAGGTTTTTCACCAGTAGAGTTACAGTTTGGTGAAAAAGTTCGAATTTTGCCAAATGAGGTACAAGGTCCTCAGATAACGGAGCAAACAACGGCGCATGAGACAAAATTAGTGCTGGCAAAAGAAACTCTGATGGGTAAGGCCGCGAGACGCAATTTGAGATATCATAATAGGCCATTTCATCCTTTTAATGTAGGGGACTTAGTATTATTGCGGGCAAATAACGTTTCATCAATATTGAAATCAGAAACCAAAAAGTTTTTGTTGTTATTCGAAGGTCCATACCGAGTAAAAAAATGTGTCACACCAGTTACTTACGTGTTACAGTTTTTAGATTCGGACAAAGAACGAGGCATTTTTCATTTGTGTCATTTGAAAAGTTTTCATAAATAAAGTTTTGATTCCATTTGTTTTAAATGAATGGATAAAAACTTGGGGGAGGCAAGTTGTAACAGAATCCAGGAATTCAGGAACATGCTTAAAATGTGATTTGGGGAAACAAAGCCTCGTTGTCAGGTAAACGTATAAATAGAGATATCAATAAGGAAATTTGTGATATCAACGTTTCGAAGATTTGTGTGCGAGATTTTGAATCCCTGGGGGAATCTCCCAATTCAGTATTACTGGGTGAGGAAGTGTCCCTGATTTAGGTATGTGGGATTTGCCCATTTTCTGTATGAAGGTATTATGTTTATGTAAATTTTAGAACTCGAACTTATCTTGGAAATAAACTGTTTGGACATTGATATTCGCATCTGATTGCTCAGAACCTTTACAGTACTAGGCGAAGAAGAAGGCATGTGTTTTCGTTTATTACCATGATAATAAATATCCGCCCGCCTCAAATGTCCTAATGCATCGGAAAGGGTGTCACTTTGCATAAGTAAGAAGGAGATATGAGGCGGTAGAGTCCTAGAAATAGTAGATAGTAATATTTTTCCTGGGTATGGTTGCTCTTAGTGTTTGGACAAGCCAACAAAACCGTTAAAAAAATCAACAAATGATTCCCCATCTTTATACGATATTGTTTCTAACTATGTTCTTGTCTGCCACTGGGAGGAATCATTCCAGAGCATAGTCAGAAGATCTTTTTTGAATTCCACGTAACTGCAAAATTTATCTAAAAAGGCTTCCGCGCCCAAACTTTAGTTGAATTCCGAGAAAGATCTGCCACAAAATATTTGAATTCCTTATACTCCATATTCTCGACTTTGAAGCCATCTTGCAGTTGTTCCAAAAAATCTACTGGGTGTATAGAATTCCCATCAAATATCGGAGGTTTTTTGGTGGCAACACTCCCTAACATTGATGAGGAACTATTGCTACCTACATTATTTTGCGAATTGTATACAGGGCTTGTTGAGTTCAAGTTAACATTAGTCAGTTGTTGGATTGTTTGTGCAACTAATTGACTCAATGCTACAGAATTCATGAAGAAACACTGGTTTCCAGTAGTTGGACGATTTTCTCCAACTGGTACACTGAAATATGGGGGTGGCAAAGTAATACTTTCCGCACTTGTTTGGTAAATAACTATTACCGCTTGAACCCTTCGCACCATTGAACATAATTATGATTTTGAGCAATCCTTCGCCATAAAAATCTGTTTACTGAAATTTTGGGGCATATATACGGCCTTTCGTCATGACGACATCGATCTGTATCACGATAGATTCTCAAGTACCTACTCATTGCAATAAATGAAGAGCTTACCCAAATTAATTATCAATATTCCCACAAAATGATTCCTAACACACATCTTATATGCACAAATAATGAAAACTATTCGACCATACATTGTACGTTAGGCTACAAATCAATGAAATTTGATATATTGTGTTATTATTTGATAGTAATCAGACACTTGGTGTCGAAAGGCGTTTCATACATAATTATACTTATATAGATTTAAATGATATATCAAGCATCCCATATGTTTGTAAAGGGTATGATCATGCATGTTTTCTAATTCCGTACCTATTACAATACACGAATCAAATATAAGTCTGCTTCCGATTTATTAATGTTGTTCATTTTAACAAGGATTTTCATTATTATACAAATTTTGTTCAATGAAGACACGTAGTTTTTATTAAGAAACAAAGTTTTGGCCTATATAGAAACACGTATCTGGGAATAATTATTGTTTAATAATTGCATAGGTGTTTCTTCGTTCCTATCCGAGTTCCTATCTCACTTGCTTGGGTTATTTGACATTCATTCCAATTGACATTGAATCCTAACGCGGCAAAAGTATAGGAATTTTTATACCATTTATTGGTGGTAGAAGAAAAAAGGGAAAGTCTCGTTTGACCCAATTTTCGATTCGCCCAATTTTCGATTCACCCAAGTTTCGATTTACCCACCGTTTTCTCGGATTCTATAAAACAAGAATTATCAACAATCATTTCACATTCAAATATGTCGTTGGACCAACATTTCGTTACACCCAATTTTCGATTCGCTCAATTATCGATTCGCCCAATTTTCGATTTCCCAATTTTCGATTCACTTAATTTGCGACTCATCCAATTTTCGATTCGGCCGAGTTAGGTTAGGTTAGGTAGTTTGGAAAAAGTAGTCTCGTTCCTTATGCAGAAAAGAATATTTTCATTCCTTATATCACGTCAAAATTCGGGTCGATCGAAATTTGGGTGAATCGAAAATTATGCCGAACGCAACCTACCCGAAAAAAGAGTTTATGCAACAATCTGAAGAAGCGTATTGTGAATTTCGTCGAACAAAAAAATACTTTTGATGATAATCACCCGAGTAATCACCCTTATAGCACGCAACGTCCTAGGAACGTCCCTATCTGGAACAATTCAAGTCCGAATGTCCCAGTCCTAAAGTAATTGTCCTTGGGATGTCCCATCTTGTACATCTCATGCAATGTCCGAGCAAGGACGTCCATGGAATCTACCAGCTGGTACATCATTTCAAATGTCCTACAGAAATAGCATCCTTTAGACGTTTCACGTGGTACATATTGTAGAATGTCCATGCAAGGACGTCCTCAGCATGTCCCCAATGGGATATCATTTTGAACGTTCCTTTAGTAACATCTATAAGATGTCCCAAGTAATACATATTTTGGCATAACTTCAGAACCTATATAATATCCCTTTCAGAATAACCATGAAATGTCCCAGACGGTACATTTATCCAAATATCTCTGCACGGACGCCCTTAATATTTCCAGGAACGTATAACATTCGAAATATCCCTTAGGGACATTCGTCAGGTGTCCCAATTGATACATGAACTGTTATCACTTCTAAAGGAACTCTTATAGATAATCCATTATGTTCTTTTTTGAAGGACGTCCATTGGATAATTTTTCAAAAAAGTCCAATGTATATCCTTGAGGGATATTCTCTTTTAGTGAGGAGTCGGGATATTTGTACCTCCCACAGACGTACTATATGGATGTCCGCGGTACCAAGAACTTGATACGGGAAATTACGTCGTAGCTATTTTCATTGATCTTTAAAAAACATGTGATACAGTTGAACATAATAAGCTTGGAATCGATGGGACTTAGAGGGATCGTTAAAAATCTTTTGGAATCTTTTGTTGGGAATAGGACAATCAGCATCAAATGTATTATGTCAGTCTGATAGACTTCCAATAAGTGAAGGTGTTCCACAGGGATCTATTTTAGGGCCCATCTTGTATTTATTATACAGTGTGTCTCGCGTTTCATGAATTCAACCTCACCCTATGATATCTCAGTTATCAATATAATACGATTTTCTTGATCCCTTATGGTAACGATTCTATGTTGGAACAATGAAGTATTTATAGCAGAGTGAACGGTTTTATTCACCATTGGCGTGCGAAGTTAAGGGGTACAAAAAAGGCCTTCATTCGGGAAAACAAAAATTTAGAGCCTATTTTAAATGACTTCTCTCAACAGATTCAGAATCAGCATTTCCAAAAACCCTTCAATTCATTTGAAGATCTCAAGAGCTAACAAAACTATTCCAAAATCCTGCTTTTCATGAAACATGACAAAAAAATAATATACAATCACCATCACAATTTCGAGAAAATCGTGTCAATAATAAGATATTAGGGTGCATGTATTCTACTATAAGAAAACAAAAACCCTTTTATTCTAGAAAATATTATTAACGAAGATTTGAAAAAATTTCAAAAATTGCTTTATTCACACATTTTATCAATGAATACTAATAAAACTGAATAAATAATATTCCATCGGCAAAATAATCAAAATATTTGTCTCGATCTCCAAATCGAAAATGAAGTTTTGAAATAACTACACAAATGGAGCATCTTGGTATCTGGATTACTGGATTGATGAAAAATTAGAATGGAACAAGCATATTGAGGTTCTACACAAATAATATCTCCAACCATTGGAGATTTGAGATGTCCTGAACTCAATAAGAAAACCATAAACATAGTGCTCCATTCTCATATACTCAGTCGCATCACCTTTATGATAAACGGTTGAAGATCTTGTTCAAACAATTATTTCCATTTGAAAAACTCGAGAGACATCACTTCGAAAAGGTACGAATAGAATAATCATCATACGTCACACCCTGTATAACTTGAGAATTTGAGGGTATGGAAATTCTCGATCAAATTTCATAATTGTGACGACAGTTAATTTTCGGTATGCATCTGCATATGACAATATATTATTTCGGCAAAAAAATCATACCTTCCATATGATCGAGATATAGTCAACGATATGACAATGGTGGATAAAAGTCACAGGGATTTTTAAAAAAATATGCTTATGTACAGGGCATTCCATTAAAAAAAAATCCCGACCCTTTGAATATTTTTCTATGCGCCCTGTATATGCAGCAATAATTTCTAGTTATGGACCTTGTCTCATTCACATTCGTTTTTGAATCAAGTTTCTAGCTATCATAGAACTCGAGCAATCGAGCTCCGACGCAATAATGCCCCACCCTGTATATCTGTGTTCTAGTTTTTCAATGCTGAATTCTTTCCTAAATGGTGTGTTGGACGAATCCAATTCCCTGTTTTGAATTTTGTTGCGAGGGATCCCAGATAACTGATATTCTAATTTACTGCGAATAAGTGAGAAAAATAAATATTTTATGATGTTTCTTCAACGGTATTGCATATATGATTGTTGAGGTTGAAATTATTCTGAAAAAGTATAACAAGATCATGTATTTCTGATACCAAATCACCAAAACCAAATTCTGCATAGTGTATACATATTCGCGAAATTCTTATATTTCTTATTGAAAAAAATAACCCCACATTAATTTCGAGAGCCCAAACAATAATTTATTCTCTATGGACCAGGCAGAGATTCGATCTATGTCCTCTTATATCTGATATTCTATTAAATATTTTGAAATCGTCTGCATGAACAAGACAGTCAGGCGATACTTCCATAGGAGGAGTAGGGGCCCTAGATTTGATCCTTGGGGCACACCCGATCCTGCTGAATATACTTGAGATGTCTCACCTCCTATGTAACATACTGAGGTCTCTATGCTATGAAAAAGGATATAAAATGATTGCTCAATCCGTAAAATTTCAGTTTTGCTATTGATCATGCCATGAATTTTATTTTCGAACTAGCAAACTCTCTTCAAAAACAATCTATTTATCAAAATACAAAAGCAGAGAGCGAATTTTAGTAGATGTTTGTCGTACTCACTCATAGGAACTAATGATATGATACCATCTGCTCCTAAGGAGTCCAATTCTCGGAGTGCATATGGGACATTTCGTTCTCTTGTGAAGAGTAAGACAGGTTTGGCTCCTCCTCTGATTTGAAGTGCAATTTTCAATACTGGAACACATCCGACTTTTGCTTGGAATATGCTGTATGCGAAATAACTGAATACATTCTCGATTGAGTTGACAGATTGCAGTTCGTACAATAAAGCTGAGTTTTCTATTTCACTGTCAATCTGCTGAAGCTCAATACCTAGCTCTCGAATCCATTGTCGGCCAAGAAGAGCATCATGTCAGGCTGAAACGACAACATTTACTAATATTTCTCCTCTGGGTTGACCGTGATTACCTGAATAAGACCTGAATGACATTCAGATTTAGATTATTGAAATCGTTCTCATTCAATAAGGAAAACTTTGCACTGGAATCAACTTCAAATCGCTGTGATTTGCCATTGAGTGAGACAGAAATGGAATATTCGTCAGAATCGGGAGTCATTTCGAATAAGTCAACGATTTCACAATGCTGTTATATTGTTTCAATTTTGTTGAGATCGCGTACGTAATATCGGAATCTGGCTGATCATCAGAAACAGCGTACTGTAGTGGAACTGAAAACAACTGATCTTGGCAACGTGACATTTTTTCTTGCAGGAGTCACATGATATTCTGTTTCTATCGACACGATTGTGCATTTGACTGTTTCTTCCACATCGAATACAAAGATTTTCGATTTCAAGTGCCTTGTAATCTGGTTGACATCGTTGGTGATGTGAATTTTGGATATTTGGACTATGTGATCGGGAGTTTGAACGACAACTGGAATGATTTCTGGATTGATGTCGTGCGGAGTTCGAGATTTTGTTAACGTCACACATGTTGAAATTCGTATGGTTGGAACTGGAACGCTGAGACAGCTTCTTACTCTCTATTTTCGAAGCTTCAAGAGCGGTTGCTTTCGACAAAGTTTCTTCGAATGATGTTATATTTGATTGCAAAACCTGTTATCTCAACCAGTAGCCACGCAAACCACGAATAAACTGGGCTCTCAGGAAAACATCGGCAATGGATACTGACTTGGTACATTCGCATTTGACTGAAAATTCGC